CAACTTGGGCCAGTGAAGCAACATCCTCCACAACTAGACTGAAGAACAAAAGGACAGCAATTTGTCTGTTCCCCTTCCCCCAATTCTCCAGCACTGTTCCCATCCCCCCAATTCCCCAATAAAAATCTTTAAAAATAAATAAATAAATAAAATAAAGGTCATGGGGGGTGATGTTCCCACTTTCCCTTCACAAGCAGTTGTGTCTTGCCATCCATTCTATTTCCACTTAAGAAGTTATTTTCCCAGCTCCTTTCCAGTACCTCTTATAAGTAACAGCAGGATTTAATGCCTCACTGAGGGTGGCCAGATAGAGCAGTGCTTTTGCTTCAAAATAAATGGAAATCAGTTGGGTGAATCATGGGGCTGCAGAAGAGAAAACAAGTTACTGTAATATCTTTATGACGGACTCAACAGGATGGAGTTTATCATTTAGTTGCAATCAGTTTTGTTAAATTACATTTCTGGGGCTAAAGAGAAGCAGAGTAAGTTCTAGGAAATTATCATTGTAAACTTTGAATTCAGAGAAGAAAACGATGACTGTAATTTTGCCCTTTTTTTGTCCCCGTTCCTTTTGTGAGTTTCCAACCTTTTTTGTGTGAGGTCTTGGCTGGTGGAGTCTGGTTTGGGGATAGGTCATTGGGCTAGGTGGGAAGGGAATTGAAGATACTTGCTGCTTGATGGATAACTGGACAGAATACACAAGAAATGAAACTTGGTAACTCTCTTCCCCCCGCGTGCACTCAGCCATGCTCCTCGGACAGGATGAGTCTTTACATCAAACTTATCTAGTAAGGTCAGTAGAGGAGTGTGCCATTCAGGAGGAGGTGGCTGAAATGTCATTGTGACATTGAAAACATCATGGCAACAATTTTCTGGACATGTCGGAGTATAACATTCCAGATGTAATCTGTGAGTGAGCATGAAGTGCATGATGCATTTCTTTGAACTTTGACTTATAGCAGGTGGATGAGGATTCTCTTGAATGAAGTCCTATGGTCTTCTGTGACACCGCTCACCACACTTTAGAACCACGACCAGAAAATCCACAGCTGGTAAGGGGACAGCCTGTCAAAGCCAGCTCTCTGGTAGCCCCTTGCCCTTATGGTTTAGGGTCCAGAACAATGGACAGTCAGTGGTGCCTGGAACTGCATTGGTTCCTACTGACAGCAAAGAGGTCTCCAAGGGAATTCTGGCCTCCTCTTCTCCACAGCTTTCCGGCCCACACAGCTGCCAAATGCCTATGGGAAACCAGTGTGGATTTACTCCCTCCTAACTAGCCACAGTTCTTAGAGGGATGTACCACCGCGCTGCCCTCTGCAATGTTCTTTCGCGGCAGAGAGAGCCCACAGCCCCCGAGTCTCTCTCTCCTGTCTCAGCCTTTCTGAAAGCCTGATTGATGAACCTTAACAGCAGCGATAGGACCAAGGTCCTGGTAAATCTGCCTTCCTGAAAGCTGCGATCATGCAATAAAAATGGAATAACGCCAGGATCATGCCACTAAAACCCCATGTCAAGGTGGGAGAGTGAGTGGGAGAGCTCAAAAGCCCGCAGGGACCCCACATGCCAGGTTCCAAGAAGACAGTGCAGGCCTCAGTCATGATGAGCCTCCGTGAGTTGTGCATCATGTGACTATAAATATGACATTCACTTTGACTTAGCCTCAAATAAAAGACAGGTGATTTGCTTTCAAGGCTATCAAATTAGAAAATCATAAACCATGTTAATGATCCAATGAAGGCAAACCTAGAAGCTTTCCCCTAAAGCATAATAGCACAGGTGACTATTGGTGCTTAATGGTGAACAAGGCAAAGGGGGATTATGGCTTTTTTCTTTTTCTGGAACCCACTTCACTGCCATGCAGCAAAAGATCGTTCCCTCATAGACTTCTGAAAGTGATTTGAGGAAAAGATGGTGTAATCTGGGAATACCATCAGCGCTGTAAGCTGAGGGACAGAGATGGCTTCCAAAGCCTGTGGTGCTGCCCAGATAAAATGGGGAACTCTGGTTGTGGAGAGCTGATTGGTGAATACAACTGGAAATTACTCCCCTTAGAATCCCCCAATTTAAAAGTGTTCTGAACACTTTATTCTACAAAGATCTGATTCTCTCTCACTAATTTGTCATGTGCCCAGGTGCCATTGTTGGCTCTACTGAGCGCCTACTGTTTGCGGAACTATATCCATGTTCTCTAGAGAGATTTGGAGTGTCCACAAGGAGACAACATACACAAGGAAAATTACGTTTCTCCTAAATATCCGTTAGATCCCCCTCAAAGCAGAACCGTAGTGCAGGTAGGTTATTTGGGAAGTCACCCCAGGAAGCAGGAGTGAGGGGTGGGGATAAGTGAGACAGGTGAGGAGGAAAAGCCAATACAAGAGTGCATGTCCAAGGCCACACAGGCTCAACACCACCAGAACTCCTGAGAAGTATTTCGAGTGCCTCCCATAATTGCCTGTGTGAGGACAGGAGGCTGGTCCATTTAGCCACCAGCTAAATGAGGGTGGCCCCGGTGGCATGAACTTCACCACATATCCAGGCAGTGCTGTGACATTCTGGCAGGGGCAAAGGAGGTCCCGCAGCCAGAAATGGAAAGCCTCCAGGTGTCTGATTTTGGTAGCACATTGTCAGCAGTGACTCTGAGCTTGCTCAGAATTAACCATGACAGGGACAGCTGAAATTAAAGTCCTCGAGCATGTGTCAGGGAAAGGATTTGTGCAATAATAGGAAAAGAACTGGGGTGCAATAGAAACCACCAGGAAGTAGCTAATTCAGAGATGGGGGGAGGGATCCAGGAAGGTTTCCTGGAGGAAGAGGTTTCTAAACTCAGACAAGACCAGATGAAAAGAAGGGAGGCAGGCAGAGGTGAAGTACAGGTTCAGGACTATAGAGGGAGCATAAATTGCAAGGGTAGGTGTGGTAAGAGAAGATCAGAAAGAACTTTGCTAGTTTAGGAGTTTAGACTTATTGTAAGAGCAGTAGGGGTCCAGGAACGTTTAAGCAGAAAAACATGATAAGCTTTGTGTTTTAGAAAATTTGCTCAAATGACAGCATGTAGAATAGATGCCAGGATGGAGCTCTTGAATGACAACAAAACAGAAGCCAGGGAGACAGGTAAAGAGGCTGCTAAGTTATCCAGATGAAAGAATGTAACAGTGATAACCTAGGCAGTGGCAGTGAGGCAGGTGAGAAGTGAAAAGATTTGAGACATTAAATTTCTTAATCCCCACTCATGCCTGCTCCTGGTACAATATAGTGTGTGTGTGTGTGTGTGTGTGTGTGTGTGTGTGTGTGTGTGTGTTGAGGGAGAGATTGTTATAGGGAAAGAATTTTTAGAAGATGTGAATTGAAAGCTCATAAAGAGCTGTTTGGAAAATTCTTAAGCAATTTGGGAAGTAAAATAGTTGTCAGAAAACATCTCAAGTAAATTCTCACCTTAGAGGCGAGACCGCACAGTGCACTACACTGGGCATCCAAACGACCTTGCTGTGTTCTGGATATGCATTTTCTATGGATTTGACCTTTGTTATATCATTTAACCTCTTCAGACTTTGTTTATTTGTCCAACTCAGAATGCGGATGAGGATACCCGCCCAGCCTCTGCTAAGTTGATCTTAAGCTAACAGTGTATAGTGAGACGTGACCACAGTAGGGAGGCTAGCATCCTCTCAACCAACGTGAATACAATGAGAGTACGGAGGGAAATGGTTCAGCCCAAGAGTCTCGTGTACAGTGTGGACACTGGCCTGTTGGCTCGCTCCAGAGCAGAGGCAGCAACGCATCCCTTCCTCGGCACTGTGCTCTGGGAAGGTGGGGTTTGAGTGGTTAGAGTGACACTAGGTCACTGCCAAGCCGCCTCCTCCACCTCAGACCCAATGCTCGTCTTTCACAGGCCATAGTGAGAATAGATGGGAAAATGGCTATGAAAGCACTTTAGAGAATCAGCATTCTAGGCAAGTGACAGGAATGATTATCGATGTACTCAGTAGGCCTTGTAGTGTTAGCGCATAGTTTTTAAATGTTTTAACTCTCTTGCTTATCCCAGTAAAGCAGAAAATAACTTTCAGTTTCTTGCATGCTGGTATATAACTTGTTTTAGTTTCATAAAGAGACCAAAAGCCATGTTCCTTCCATAGTTCCTTCCCCTAACACTATCTTCTTACTAGCTGCATTCTGTTTTTCTTATTTTATCTCATACATTTAACATTGGCTGGAAAATTTGACCTGCCAAAACTTGAACTTGGGCATGTGGGGCTTCTCCCACAGTCCATGATAGCAACACCAGCAAATAGAACACAGGCTGTACATTCCCTGCTTTTAGGGCAGGAATATTCTCCACCTCCTGGGGAAAACCAGGGCCCTGACTCACAGGAGTTGAAAGGAAACTGATCTTGGAGCCCTTTTAAGACATTGTGACTTCTTGATCATCAGTGTCGGGGTCTGGTTCTCTTTCTCTTAAAAGAATCCCCTGGGGCTTGAGTGCACAAATGATGACAGTGATTCAGTATGGCTACCATTTATTGCACCTTTACTCTGTGCCAGGTGCTGTTTTAAGCACTTTGTGTATAAGATACACTATAACCCCGTGGGTATGTATTCATTTTGTAGATGAGGAAACCCAGGCAGATGTGGTTAGATAACTAGCCTAAAGACAGTCAGAGCTGGAATATGAACCTAGACATGTGAATCTAAAGCCGTGTCTGAATCATGCCATGCTTCTCCCTCCTTGCAAGCAGAGACCTGTCAGAACACACAGAGGTCTGCAGGATTTCCTACCCCAGGTCCTTAGAGCGGTCAGAGATGGTAAGCAGGAAAAGTGCTTTAGAATTCTTCTCTACTTAATGGCGTTCTCCACACCAGACAGGAAGTACCCTACATACAAACATGGCCCCCACCAAGATAAATAGCTCGATTCTAGGGAACCCTGTGCCAAGCAAAAACCCCATTAATCAAGAGATTATAGTTTTTGCATGTTACATGTTTCATGTTTTCCCTTCCCCTAGGTTAAAAAGATCAAGTGGCATGAGCAGCCTTTTGGGAAAAATTGGAGCCAAGAAGCAGAAGATGAGCACCCTAGAGAAGTCCAAATTGGACTGGGAGAGCTTCAAGGAGGAAGAGGGCATTGGTGAAGAACTAGCCATCCACAATCGCGGGAAGGAAGGGTAAGAAGGAGTGGACTCCAGTCCTCTGAAAAATCCTAAGACTCTGAAATAGTTGATTGCAGAAAGGCCACCCAATTTAAATGAAAAATGTGAGTACTTTGGTCTGTCAGTAAAGCTCTGTTCTAATGCGGGGCAGGTCCTGGCAGCGAGAGAAACGCTGGGAGTGACAGGAAGGGAGAGGCATGTGAGCATCACTTCTCTCAGGGACGGTCACGTCTGCCAAGCTGAATTTGCTAAATTATAGCTCCTGTGAACTGCAAGTCACCTCGTTTATTCACGTGGTCAGATGGCTCACTGTATCAATCTTGGCCTGCCCTGAATTATTTGGCCTCTGAGAAGCCAGGCTAGCTCAAATGATTCAAAAGCAGAGCCAGCAGAGTGCCTAGATATTGTTGCATTATCATGGGAGTGTGTGTGTGTGTGTGTGTGTGTGTGTGTGTGTGAGAGAGAGAGAGAGAGAGAGAGAGAGAGAGAGAGAGGTTACAGCCCAGGGCAGAGCTTCACCCTTGTCCTCAATCTATTACACACCAGCCCTCAGACAGCATCCAGGCCATCACCTACACTCCCTTCCTCTTTACTTTGGAATATGCAGAGGATGTCCATAAACTAGGTATTTAGGAATATCAAAAAAGAAACAGTGTTCCATGAGTGCTTGGGAACCTCAGAAGGAACTAAGGAACAAAGTTACTACAGAAGTGGGTCCATGGCTCAAGATTAACAGTCCTGCCCCTGACAGTGAAAGGGAGTGTGGTGTGGCCTATCAGACAGCCCCAAGCGCTCATCGCCCCGCCCCTCACCAGTAAGGGCTCTGCCTGCCATGCACTGGGCATGTCTGAGGCTCAGCTCTTTCTTCAGTAAAACTGGGATAATGATACCACCCTCCGTGGTTGTGAGGACCTCGTGAGATAATATATGTAATATGTACAGTACATACTCGTCATATAAGTGATGTACATAAAGTCCTTTGTGGAGCACCTGTCACATAAAGATCTGTGTTAAGTGGTCAGCATTCAGGTTATTTACAAGCTAAACTATAATAAAGACAGGTGTGGGATTTATTCTGGGGGTCATATTACGAAATTAGGCTTCAAGATTATTTGAATGAACTTGAAAGCTGATCAGTATGTTTAAAAACATATATTTTTAATGACTATGAGCTTGTTTAACTACCATACTTCCAAGTCAGTATGTCAGAGATGGAATGCCACAGGACAGAGGCAGAAGTGCCAGAGCCATCTGGGGAAGACCCAGGATGAAGTGCAGGCAGGAATGAGTGTTACCTAGAGAGGGCCCCTGACATTTGCCCCAAACCCCCACTCTGACTCAGCTCTATAACTCACAGCTCCGTCGTCGTCTTCACATTTGTCTAGTGATCTAAGGCAGCAGGGGAACTGCCAGTGTGTGCTACGCTCTGTCGTTTCTCTGAGTATTGATTATACGGGTCGGACAGTGTTCATTCTGCTTGAGTTACTAGAGGTCTTGTAAAAGTAAGGAGTGGTGCTGCTGAAGATAAGGGAGAGCTAATAAAACATAAACTAGAAGAGAAAACAAGATTACAAAAGACATCTGCTCCATGAGGAGGACTTGTCAGGCAATGGAAAGTCAAGCCCCACTGGGTTAGGGAACAGCTAACAGCGTGTAACTTTTAAGTGTTCTGCTCTTCCCTCCTTCTCTGACACTTTTTCCCCTGGCCAGGATTCCATGGATCTGATCCTGTTTTTCCAGTGCCCACCCCACGCCTCCACTCACTTGCCTTCCCCACACCTGCAGGCAGATCAAAGAACCCAGTCGCCCCTCCAGGGAGGGGACTGTGTCTCATGTTGGCTAAGCAGCAGAATCCTCTGGGGGTTTTCCAAAGTGATGACAAGATCACCCCTGTACAGAGCTGCTGAATCCAGAGTCATTGTTATCTATGTCTTTAAATGGCTCCTTAGGCATTTCTGCTGCACAGCCGGTGTTGAGCATCCCTCAGAAATGACAGCACGACAGCCCACTGGTGGGTGAGCCTTTCCGGCACATAGGTAACTAGAGAGCTGACTTCAAAACGGGATGTCGGAGAAGGGCAAGAAGATTTCTACTGAGAAGTGTGCCCAGTGCCACAGAGTTGAAGGGAGGGAAGCGCAAGAGCCAAACCTGTAAGGTCTGTTTGGACAGAGGCATCACCTGGGGAGAGGATCTTCTGTGGGAATATGTGGAGAGTCCCTAGAAGTGTGCCCCTGGAACGAAAGTGACCTTTGCTGAACAAAGAAGGGAGAAAGGTCACATTTGATAATGTCACTACCTGTGAGTAATGATTGGCCTCTGCCATATTTATTATGAGACTATGACCTTTTTATGAGCACCATATTTAAACTGATCTCATACAAGAGTTCAGGTCATGACTGGTGATAAAAATATTCCTGTTATGCAGTCCTGATTAAAATAAGGTTGGATTGAGGTTAAAAGATTATTGTGCTATTTCTGTTTTGATGGTAATTCCACTTAAGTAAGTGCTATCACATCTTTCCCCTTGTAAAGAGTTGATAGAATTTGAAGCTAGGTTGGTTATTATTTCCAATTTTTTAAAGGGCAGTTTTGCTATCTGAAAATACTCAATAAGGGAACAAGGCGCCTTGAGAAACAGCAGGCACAGAATCAGATCGGCAAAGAATTTAAGCAATGGAAAGATCAGATACAGATTTTAAACTTTAAAAAGTGGCCTAGGAGATTTGAAAAAGACACAAACAGAATTTCTAAAAATGAAAAAGATAGTGACCATAACTAAAAACTAAATGGATAGATTTAACAGTAGTTGGACCGGCTGTAAAGAGAACTCATGAACTGGAAAACAGAAGAAATTATCCAGAATATAGTTCAGAGACAAAAAGACAAAAACCATGGAAGGGAAGTTAAGCAGTTTGGAGGACAGAGTGGGAAAAGGTGAAAGACGTGTGTTTATAGATTTTTTAAAAACCCAAAGTATATCCCAAGATAAATAAAATAGAAATCTACACTTGGACATATCAGAGTGAAACTGCAGGAAACCAAAGACAAAGAGAGAAATCTTAAGAGCAGCCAGAAAAAAGAGACTTCTCTGAAAGGAGGAGGGTCATTAGACTGACAGGTGGCTTCTCATCGGCAGCAGTACAAGCCGAAGACGCTGGAACGATCCATTCATAGTGCAGAAATAAACCACCACCAGCCTAGACTTCCGGGTGTGTGTGTGTGTGTGTGTGTGTGTGTGTGTGTGTGTGTCCTTCAAGAATGAGGGCAAATATGGACATTCTCAGAAAAATAAAAGCTGAGAGAGTTGTCCCCAGTAGAGAAAGAGGCAGCTATGTGGTGAATTTAAATCGGTGCTGACTATATAAAACAATAATGTTATTGTCTTGTAAGTTACTAGGGTTTTTTTCTTAAAGCAAGATAGTATTAAAATACCTGGCAGTAAATACATAAAAGTTGGAAGGGGGTAAATGGAGTTTAATTTTCCAAAGATCTTGTTTTCCCCAGGATGAGGTTAAAGGTGTTAAGTGTGCATATTGAAATTTCTAGAATAGAAACACAGTGTATAATTTCCAAAGTAAGAGAGGGAGAAAAATAGATGATTTGTGAAAGAAGACCCAAAAGAAGAATTAAAGAAACCAAACAGGCAGGACAAATAATAAGCACAAAATAAGGTGTTAGATTTAAAACTGAATTTATCAGAATTTTCATTAAGTATCAATAAACTAAATGCTCCAGTTAAAAGACGGAGATTGACACATTGAATTAAAACATAAAAAACAACTATTTGCTGTTCAAAAGACATATCTAAAACAATGGGATGCAGAAATGTTGACAATAAAAAGATGGGGGGAAAGATAAACCACACAAACACTAACCAAAAGAAAGCTGATGTAGCTATATTAATATTAGATAAAATAGACTTTAAGGCAAAAAGCATTACCAGAAATAGAGCAGTCTCCTCATAATGATAAAAACGTCCATTCTATGTGGAAGATATAACAATTCAAATTCAAATGCACCATTTGGCATTATCTAATGCAGCTGAGTGTAGTTACTCTCTGTGATTTAGCAATTCCATTCCTAGCTATATTCCCAACAGAAATTCAGTTATATGTCCCCCAAAAAACACATGTGAGAATTTAAATAACAATAGTTTTCATAATATCCCAAAACTAGAAATAACTCAGATGTCTGTCAGTACTGTGACAAAGTGTAATATGTTCACACATGGGAATATTCTTCAGCAATGGGAATAAATGTGAAAAAATTTCAATAACGTAATAATGCAAAGACATTCATGCAGTACGATTCCATTTATATGAAGGTCAAAAATATGCAGAACCAATGTGTCCATTAGGTCCATCTGTGAAAGAAGCAAGTCACCAAAGAATACACACAGTGTAAGTATTTATGTCAAGTCCAAAGTGAAGCACAGTTAGGCTGTAATGTCAAGGGAACAGGAACTTGAAAGAAGAACAAGGAACTGTGGGCAAGCTCACACCTGGCTGACTGGCATTGGCTGAGCTTTCAGGGGCCTCCTGGAGGTCCGGCAGCATTCTGCTTCCTGCCTCGGTGATGGCCACATGGGTGCTGCTTGATGGTGATTCATTTGCCTTGCCCAGTTTATACATTTTTCTCTGTGTGTGTGTGTGTGTGTGTGCGTGTGTTATATTTTATCCTAAACTGAATTGAAACTGAATTCAGTCCTGTCTCTACTACCAGCCTGCCATGTGCTCTAGCCCTAGTTTCTTCCTCTATAAAGTAGGAACTCGTCAGTGTGCCTCTCACGTGTATTACGGGTATCACATTAGTAGGGGAGATGTCTGGCATGTCTGCAAATAGGAATCCCCTCCCTTTTCCCCAGTCCTCTGCTTCTCCTTTCTCTAGAGTGGCCCCAACCCCAGAACCCACAATCACATCACCCTGTTTGATTTTCTCCATCACACTTATTACCAGCTGATCATGTTGTCCTGTTTGGTTTCCTATGTTCCTGTGTAGTAAGCCCTCAAGGTCAGGGCCTGGTTCAGCACTGTCACCAGCACCTAGAAGAGCACCTATCCAGAGCAGGTGCTGAGCCACTGTGCTGTCTCCATGCCCATCCCACCGGCTAGCAGACAGCCATGGCTTTGGTTCGGAGCCTAGTAGGACTAGAATTGACCACCCAGAAAAGAAGGGTAGGATACAGCTGAATGATGGCTCCACCCAGGCGTCATTTTCGGTCACAAAGTTGGTTAAAATGCCTCTATCAAGGATACTTTTCCCCTGAGCCCAGACTCCCAGTGCCCGGTCCAGCATTTCAGGATCAATGTCAACAGTCTGCACTCAAGGCGTTTGGCATTGCTTCCCTCTCGCCTGTAACCCATCCCACAGGTTCCCCGCCAGTGTTCCCCATCAGCAGTGGGTCCCTCTGACATGGCCGAGGCGGAGGCCTGCAGGCTCAGGGGAAGGGATTGTGCATAGAAAATGAGAAATAGAGGCTTGGTCTTGGCTGCTGCTGGCAATCAACTTGAAGGTTACAGAGCTCGATGATTGGAAACCAGGTGTGTTTGTGATTTGGCGAGGCATGAAGGAAAGACCAGAGGAAAATCATTTTCTTTCTCCAAAGAATCTCTGTCCATTACCCCTAAGAGTCACGCTTTAAGAACCCGCACAACATTGAAATGAAATGGGAGGAAAGCACTGGAGGAGAAACTTAATTAAAATCACCACCCTTTCCCTCTGGCCCTCGAGGTGTTTGCAAGTCACGTCTCTTCCACTGGGGCCCCCAACCCCATGGGCTTGTGCAATATGGACAGATTGCTTCTTTCATTTGCATTTCTTAGGGCAAAAAAGGGCATATCTTATTACCTCCGTCACAGAGCTGTACCCCAGCCCCTGGGCGCCTCTGTTGCCCATTGCTTTCCAGTTTGGGAATTGAAGTTCACCCCAGTCCTTCTCGTGTCTGTGCTGTGCTGAATGCACGCTGGCTCTGCTTGCAGCTGACGACTAAGGCAGCCCCGAGGCATCCTCAGCCCTGTACCCGCCTCAGATTTCCCTGAACCCCCTGTGCTCCTTTCCTGACAGTGGGCAGAGGCCACTTGTGGGCATGTGATGGAGCTTTTGGAGGTCAGCACACCCTCTGGGCCTCCTACCCACACTGACTTCCTGGGAGGGGAGGCTGCCAGCCTCTCGTGCAGTGTGGGTTCCCAGGAGCAGGTGCTCACGTGTTCCCTGGAAGCATTTTCTACCTTCTCTTGACCTCTTCTTCCGTTTTCCCTCCCCTCCCCATTGGCCTGGATCTCAAGAATATTGGTGGCAGGAAAGTAATTTGGGTTGAAAGATCAAAAAGATGTCAGAGCCTGTTGGATCTAACCTGGTTCTGAAAGGAAATGCTAGAAAATCCCTTAGGTTTTGATGCTATTAGCATATTTTATTCATGAAGGTGAAGAGCTGCTGCTCTTAAATGGGCCACATAAGGTGATAGTAGCAGGAAGGGATGATGCCCCCACTTGCACCCCAGTTTCCCAGTGGACTGAGCCGAACCAGCCTGGGTCTCCAGGAGTGCTGGGCGCACAGGCCAGAAAAGCACCATTGCACTTGTCAGCTGGTGGTTCTGCTGGGAACCGCTGGGACTGTAACCTGCTTAAGGTGCCTGGAAACTTCCGAGGCTCCATGGAAATAGGCCGTCCATTCAGGCCACCTTGGAGGAGAGGCCTTCCCCGGGAGCCCGTCCTCCTTCTGGAGCATCTGGTCCCTTGGTCCCTCCCTGTTCCAGCTGTCCCGGGTTCCAAGGCTTCATAGTGATGCAGCCAAGTCAGAAGCGGGAAGCAAGACCCCTCAATGCTCATAGCTGTTTGGGGTTTTATTGTTTACAAAGCACTGCTCATGGTTTCATTGTATTGTCAGAGGGGTACTAAAATTTTTATTCGTGTTTTACAGAGAAGAAAAATATGGCACAGAAAATTAAGTATCTTGCCTAAAGTCACACAAATAGTAAACGTCAAAGCCATCCTCACCTTCGGCATCTTTTCTCTCTCTCTCAATGGTGGGATCCGTGTCCAATAGAAATTTTGTTTCTGGTCAGCTCTTGGCAGTAAACCAAAGCCATCACAGGGACCCCGTTAGCAGCTGCAGATGGCTGTGAATGGGGAATGGAGTCCCCAGACCTGCCTGATGGCCTTGGGGTAGCCCTTGAGAATTCAGTGCCCCTCTCTGCTGCCGGAAGCCTTCCCTCAACCTGAACTCTGCCTGCACCTGCCCCTTCAGCACCCGCTGTGGCTTCACTCCTGGTAGTCTCAAGGTCAGCTGGACCCAGCACAGCTCCTGGGAACCTGCAAGGCCATTATCATGCTCAGCAAGCATCCTAATTTGAGTATCACTTCCTCTTCTTTAAAGGAAAGTCAAGAGCAAAGACCACAAATGCTCAAAACCCCATACCATGCTTCCTCTTCTTCCCCCCCAGCCTGCTCTCTCAGTCGGTAGCACTAGGCAATGGCTCTCTTGAAACATGACCTAAATCCCTCCTGAGCTACAGTTCGCCCTTTTTTTCTGCTGGATCTTCCAGGGGTGTTTAAAGCACACTGCTGTCAAAACGTTGGTTCCCATCGCGATCTTCCCCCAGGGCCAGTGGGCTGGGGTGGGGAGGGGTGGTGGTTGTAGTGTGACAAAGCCCTTCAGCTGATTTTGGTTAACAGTCCCCACTGGAGAATCCCAAGTCTCTGAGTGACAGATGGAAGGGGAACTTGTTCTGTAGTCTACCTTCCCCCCAGTCTCCCCTGTCTTCTCCATATCAAAAGGGGTCCAGTGTCTATGGCATCCCTGCCCACCAGGGAATCTGAAATTCAGATTTAACAGGCATCCTGTATTCCACTTGCTAAATCTGATAAGCTGACCCTGAGGGCTTATGTCAAACCTAGGATCAGGCCCTGCCCTGGTGTTTCTGCCATTCTGTCCTCTAGTTGGCAGCTTTGACACAGCCTCTTAGTTCCCACCCCCAGGCCAGGTGGGGGCTACTAGTTGCTGTTAACACCCATAGAGAGAGCGGACACCTCCTCTTAGATCCACTGACCTCAGGGAAGCTGGCTTCTCAAAATAGTGGTAACAGCACTCACTGCCATTTTCTTGAGCACCTACTCTGTGCTAGCTAAATGGGCAAGGTGCTGTGGCTTTCCAGAGTCACACAGCCAGCAAGTGGCAGAGTCAGGCTTCAGACGCAGAGCCGCTGCCCCCTGTGTAGTCAGGTATAGGATCAGTGGCCGCAGGCTTGGCTGGAAAGCACAGAGGATGGACTGCATTTCACAGGGTGCGGTGACAGAGAAAGCCAGGCCCTGAACTCAGAAAAGAAACCCAAGTTCCTAAACCCGGTAAGGTTCTCACCATAATGTAATGACCTTGAAATGACGGACAGGTGCACATTTTTCACAATGCAACAAAAGAAAAATTAGTGCAGAGATTCAATTATCTCTCCCATTTCCAATGGCAGTTTTGCTCTCTCAGTAGATTAATTAGCAGCAGAGATGCCCTCCCCCAGGCAAATCAAGGCACACTTTATGGCAAGAAGGAGCATTAAAATGCAGCGGTGTCTCCTAAGCAGCCAGCCTCGCCTGCCCACTTCAGCCCTGTGCTTCTCTCCTGTCTTGCGTGGGAAGTGGAGGGCAACTGTGTCTGCTGACCCTTGCCTCAGATTAGGAGCAGAGCACGGACCTTTTAAGGGGCCCCTGTATGTGGGCTGTGAGCAGCAGAGGCGCCAATCTCCTTCCCTTAGAAGAGTTTAGGGAAAGGCCCCCTCTGTCATCCTTGCAGAAGCAACCTGCTCCCATTTGGGTGGAGGATACACGGAGAGAAAAGGGTGAAGGGAAGGAAAGAGCAGGCGGCAGCTAAATACCTTCTAAAGTGAGCGCTTTATGTACCTCGCCTCATGTTTACCTTCACTGCAGCCCTGTTGAGGTAGTTTTTGCTACCCTGTTTCTTCCATTTTCAGAGGAACCTTTTCTTATATTTTGATGTATATATGCAGGATGCAAAGCTTTCTTTTCCCAGCAACTCAGCACAGCACTTAGGCCAAGAAATATGGCATCACTGTTTTGCAGTTGAGAAAAATGAGGCTCAGAGATGGTCAGTCCTTGACCAGTGTGGCCCAGCTCATGTGTAAGGGGGCTGGGTTCTGAATCTGTGTTTGATTCAGCCTGTTTTCTTCTTTCCTTAAAGCCTTGTTTCATAATTGCAACATTTTCCTGCCACCATGCCTCCAGTGTACTTTCCCTTAGATAAGTTGTTGCTTTCTCCTTTTCATTTTATTTTCATTCACCTCTGAACCAGAAACATCCTCCTGTAGCGCAAATGTGAGTTGTTTGGGTGTTACTGAGTCATGGGTGGTCATTCTGGGCACCACCTGTTTGCATTTCTCTCCCCCGAGAGCGTGCTGCCCAGGTGGACCTGCCCACACCCAGGAGGACGGGACAGCGCAGGGGAGGCCCTTTCTCTTACTGAATTCTGCTGACGAACATCTCTTTCCTTTTCTTCTAGGTACATTGAACGGAAAGCTTTTCTAGACCGAGTGGATCACAGGCAGTTTGAAATTGAGCGAGATCTCAGGCTGAGCAAAATGAAGCCCTGATGTTACGGAGGAATCAATAGCAGCCTAATCCTGTTTACAATGTGAGCTTCTCATCGTCTGTGAACCGTCTCCTGTGTTTCTCCTCAACTGTTTCCCAGCAAGGTCTTTTTTTCTACATCGAATTTCTGTCTTTGTATCTTTATCTCACGTGGTTTCATTCATTTTCCTTTTAAAAGTTTGTTCTTAAAAAAATAAAAGTTGGTCTGATGAGAGACCTTCCCTTAATTCTGCTGCTACAAAGTCCACCAGGCCAGGTCAGTACCTTCCAAGGCCTGTCCGGCCTGGCCACGGTGAGGCTGTGAATTTCTGGGGTGGTGGGGCTCTTTCTGAGGTCAGCCTTGCCCCAGAGACTGAGAGAAGAACGCTTCTGAGCACTGGTGGCATGCCAAGCCCTTGGGCAGCCCTGTTTCCAGTGTCTCTCGTGCTTCTCTGCTGATCTTTCTCTCCTAAATGGGATTCCTATTACTGGTATAAGGTAAGGCTGAAAATACGGATATATTACTGCAGAATTAGGAAATTTTTGCCTTCAGCTTTTTTCCTCTTCCCAGAGTTAAAGTGGGCTTCAGATGTGCTCCCACCTCAGTAATTCTTTAATTTTCAGTTTGTCAAAGAAGACTCTGAAGAACTTCCTTTTTTGTACTACTTAGGAAATTTTAAATCCCATACGTCATATTAATAAAGCAGTAACCCTCACAGCCTGGTCCTGGGAGGGGGATGTCCTGGGGGAAGGTAGGGCTCCAAAGACTAGGAGCCAGCTCCTGCCTGGACACCTGCCAGCTATGTGACCATGCCCACAGCTCAGCTTCCTGAGCCTCCATTGTCGTCTGAGCAGCACGAATAACACCAGCACCTCCAGGGTTGAGATGAGCACATGACACCCCTGAGGGGTATGAGCACCCACCTCCCCGCTCCAGCCCTCTAGCATGTGGTCCTGATTGTCAGTCCTGCATGGTTATGGACCTTATCACTCAGAAAGGTAGTTTACAGGCTACATGTCTGTTCACATCCAATCCCATAAAGGATTCTGGAAGTAGTGATAGAGCGTTCTCAGGCCAGTGTCAGACAGGTGGCCAGTGAGGTCCTGCACAGGGACACAGGAATAATAGGAGAGTCCTTTAACCTGAGCCCAGCCAGCGTTTTGATGAGAGCAGGACGTCCAGACCCACAGGTGCCACCAGCTGAGACTGAGATGTAAGTGTGGCGTCCTCTGTGCAGCGTCCAGTGTTCACTGCCCTGTGGAGGGCCGTGGCCCTGACTTTCTCCTGGAGTCCTCACTGCCTCCTGCATTCATTCCCATCCACACAGCTCCTCATCTCAGCTGCCGTTGTACAGCAGCTCTGGGGACTCCTGTCCCGGTTGGAAGAACAGTCTGTAATCCTATAGAATAAATGGTGCTGAGCTCGTTATAAATCAGGGTTTTTCTTTTTAGCAAATCTTCACACTTTTGAAGCCTGCGAGATTCAGACAGACGCTGCCAGGGCGTGGTGGGTTCTCTGCACGGGTGGGTTTGCTATTCTTGCTTCGCTCCCAGGCCTGGAGAGAGAAGTCAGGTACGTCAGTGAGTATCCTGGCTGGTTGGTGGTCCTGCCGTTTGTCACGATCTGGCCCTCGCACGGGCTTCTCCTCTGTCCTCTGTATCAGATTCATGTCGCAACTCTGCAGAAAGCTCGCTTCCTTTCTGGTGTCTCTTGATTTGCTGCGTCGTTTCCCAGCTGGCTTGCTGCACACATCTGACCACTCAGCGACTTGACACGTCCTGAGTCTTTTGAAAAGCCCCACTAGCCTAGCCCTTCTGACAGACTGGCAGCTTGTTGAGGAACGCGAGTGCGGCACGCTTTGCACCATGCTTGTTACAGATGCGCTCCCTCCCAGCTGTGGAGATCTTCCTTTGGTGTTCCCAGACTTGCACATTTAAAACTCATTTGCCCTGACTTTAGCTGCCTCCCTCCTGATCTACATGGAACCACTTTACAAGCCACCTGTATTGAACTCAGCTCATCTTATTGATGAAGCGGCTTCGTCTGGCTAATACATGTGCCCGTGTGTATCTGTGCACACACGTATATCACCTTACTGTGAGGCTTAAAAGCAGCTTCAGAGCAGGCTTTCGCTTATGTCTCGTTGGCCATAGGTGGGGAGTGGGCCAGGGGTTATGGGTTATATAGACTTAAATTTTTCATAGTAAATCGTTTTTTAAATTGCCCCAGAAAGACAGAGTTGAGCTGTGTGTAAGGCGAGACTTGGCAGTACTCTGGCTCTTCCAGGACAGAATGGACGGCCCCCCAGAGCCTTGCTCCCCACCTCCTAAGATCTGTGCTTGTTTCTATGTCGTCTCATCTCCCCGAATTGGGAGCACCTTCTCTGACCCTTATGTCCACTCCTTTCTGTTGTGGATCAGTTCCAAGGGACAGTGATGGATTGGTTAGCAAGACGGGCCCTCAGGCATGGGCGCTGGTCTCTCCAAACGAGTGGTGGTTTCTCACAGCTGTGAACCAGGCCCAGGACGTGGGAGCCTTCTCAGCCCTGCCTGACCATCCACGGTGGGCTGAGTGCTGTGGCTGCAGAATGGAGTGTTTCTGCTGCCAGCCAGGGACCCAGGCAGAGGACTACACCGTAGGAAAGCATAGGAAGGAGATGGCGCGGCCACTAAGGGACAGGCCTGCGTGACTCAGTGAGTGGTGAAATCCGGAGAGGGTGAAGTGGGCGTCCTTGTGGGTGCTAAGGGCAGGTGTGGACCAACCTTGGTCATCTAGGGCAGGACCTGCCCTCTCAGCCAGCATTGCCACTTGTCCTGTCCTTGTCCTGCCTCTTTCTCAAAGGACTGCGAGCTGCCTCAGCAAAGGCCTGGCCTTTCTCAGCCAGGCTGCAGGCTGCATGGTGGGGCCGACTGAAGTGTGTTCACTGTCAATCAAGAATCACCTCTTCCAGGGCCGGCCGAGTGGCTCAGTTGG